CTGACCTTTTGGTTAAAAGCCAAGTGCTTCACCACTGTGCCACCAGGGCTCCTTACAAAGTGATAGAGAATTGTTAAGTCCATGTAAGAAACAGAGACAGAGGAGAGAGACGTATCAAGATGTCTTAGTCTGATTCAGGCGGCTAACAGACACATGAAGAAATGCTCACGATCATTAGCCATTAGAGAAATGCAGATCAAAACTACGATGAGATAACATCTCACCCCAACAAGGCTAGCAGTAATCCAAAAAACACAAAGTCATAAATGTTGGAGAGGTTGTGGGGAGACTGGAACACTTATACATTGTTGGTGGGAATGTAAAATGGTAAACCACTTTGGAAATCGATTTGGCACTTCCTTAAAAAGCTAGAAATAGAAGTACCATAGGATCCAGCAATCCCATTCCTTGGAATACATCCTAGAGAAATAACAGCTGTCACATGAGTAGATATATACACACCCATGTTCACTGCAGCACTGTTCACGATAGCAAAAAGATGGAAACAACCTAGGTGACCATCGATGGACGAATGGAGAAAGAAATTACAGTATATTCACACAGTGGAATGCTATGCACCGGTAAAGAACAATGATGAATCCGTGAAATGTCTTATAACGTGGAGGAATCTGGAAGGTATTATGCTGAGTGAATTTAGTCAGTCACAAAAGGACAAATATTGTATGAGACCACTATTATAAGAATTGAAGAAAGGTGTAAACACAGTAGAAAACTTTCTTTGATGGTTACGAGGGTAGGGGGAGGGAGGGAGAGTGTTATTCACTAACTAGACTGAAACCCTGGTGGCGTAGTGGTTCAGAGCTACAGCTACTAACCAAAAGGTCGGCAGTTTGAATCCACATAGGTGCTCCTTGGCAACTCTACGGGGCAATTCTACTCTGTCCTATGGGGTTGCTATGAGTCGGAAATCTACTCGACAGCAGTGGGTTTGGTTTTCGGTTTGGTATACAAGAGGAGGAGTTGTTGGCTCCCCAGAAGTGGAGAGTTCGGTTGAGGCAGAAGATGTTGGCAATTCAGTGCCAGACAGTGCACACGGCAGAATAGTAATATTTGAAGAATGCATAGAAATCTGCGCCGTTGGTTTGGGATCTGCTGCAATGAGTTAGCCTGCTAAGACAAAAGGCTTAGAGCAGGAAACACAAGCAATAGGGCAACGTAAGCTTTTCGGTGACAGATCAAAAACTGATTAAATAGGAATTAGAGAAGTGTCCTTACTCTATAGAAGCTTAGCTTTTCTGTAGTTACCCAGAATGTTTTTTAGTGGCTGTGGCAATAATTTCTTTACTACATGACTTACTGTCAGATTTTATAAGGACTTTTCCAGTCAGTGTGTTTTCAAGCGCTGAACCATATAGTAAAGCCATTAGCAACTACCCACGAATTTATATACAAACACATATAATTCTCTGTCCTTCCGTTAGGGTTTGTCTGATTGCTAAGTTCACAGCCATCAGTTTTGCAAATTGTGCCAATTTACCTACGCCTTCCTTGGTTAGGGTCACGCCCTCTGACGTTCTCAAGGCCACAGCCTTACAGCGTATTCCAGATGGGGTCATGGTAGCCCAACCATCCATACACCATGTGTTGATGGGTGCCAAAGGACCAGGGCAGCCCCCATTGCCTAACTACTTGGACTTGGATTGGCTCATCCCTTAGAAATTCCGGCAAGCCCATTATTGGTAATGTTGAGACTTCCTCTGCTAACACAGAGGGTCGACCGTCCACCCATATGTCCCGCTCGGAAATATACCATTTACAGTTGAGGACTCTCTGGTCAGATGTCACACCTTTTTGTTTGTCAGGCGTCTGTCGGATCCACACCAGGATGGGCTGAGGTATGCAGAAGCTGAATACTCCTTTTTTCAGTAAGTGGCTCTGTGTGTTGTAGTGCTTTATACAAAGCCCACGTATGTTTTTCCATTGGGGAATGTTTGTGTTCCACCCCAGGAAATTTGTTAGATCAAAAACCAATCAGGTTAAATTTAAAGTCTGTAAGATTTTTTTAAGCCATAATGGCCCTATAGCAAAACCTGGTGAATACAGACATTCTCCTCTGAGTTTTCATTCAAAGTGCATAAGCGCAAAAGTCTGATATGTTTGCACTGCTTCTTTGAAAAGTATTAGGGAATATTCCTGGGTAGGTCCCCAAGTAAACATCTTGCTCTTTCTAGTTGTTTCATAAAAGTAGTCTTTTTTAGGGGGGAGGGCTAAATATCTTTATTTGAAGAAGACCTTTATTAATATACTATATTCAAGGAAGAAAACTAATTGTCTTTCAGTTTTTCCCCTCCCTTTGCTATAATCTTTTTTTCTTAATTTTATTTTGTTGTTGAGAATATACACAGCAAAACATACACCAGTTCAACCGTTTCTGCATGTACAGTTCAGTACATTGATTACATTCTTGGAGTTGTGCAACCATTCTCACCCTCCTTTTCTGAGTTGTTCCTCCCCCATTAACATAAACCCACTGCCCCCCAAGGCTCCTATCTAATCTTTACAGTTGCTGTTGTCACTTTGATCCCATATAGATAGTTCTTAAAAGAGCACAATGCTCCAGGCAGACATTTTTTACTAGTAAAGCTTGACTATTGTTTAGCTAGACAATTTTAAGAAGACTTTAGGGAATATTCTTAGTTTAAGTTTTGAAGAGCACCTCAGGGCAATAGTTTCAGGGGTTCATCCAGCCCCCTTGGCTCCAGAAAGCCTGGAGTCCATGAGAATTTGAAATTCTGTTCTGCATTTTTCACCTTTGATCAGGATTCTTCTATAGACTCTTTGATCAGAATGTACAGTAAGGGTAGCCAGGCACCATCCAGTTCTTCTGGTATTATGGCAAAGGAGGCAGTTGCTCATGGACGCATAAATGTAATCTTAAGCGTGGTATCTGTTGTTTCCAATATCCAAATAAAACTGTTAGTTTTTTTTGTTTCTTCTTTGGTAATGGGGGTAATAGCTGTAATAATTTGTTGATTACAGGATTAAGAATAGAAAACCAAGAGCAAATTGTCCTAGGACACTTTAGACTCGGTATGAGTTGCCTCGGCTGCTTCCCCCATGTGAGCCTCAGCAGTGGTTCCTCTTTGAGCAATTCCATCTTGACTGTCTTGATGTACACACAACATTGATTACCAACTCAGGCACAGGCACCATCTTAAGAGACTAACATATAATCTAAAACTAACCTGTTTTGTAAATTTTGCAGTTCTCAGGAGATGGTCATTGTGATGTTAATGTTATGGGTTAACTTGGCTAGGCTATGATTCTCAGCGATTTGGCAGACACGATGTAACCATCTTCCATTTTGTGAGCTGAGGAGAAAGGGGAGTTTCCTTGGCAGTATGACCTGTCTCTGGCATCTAAATGGATGTTCTGGCAAAGCTTGCTCTTTCTTGGCCCTGCACTGTTCTCGTGGCCTGACTTCGAGTTCTTGGGACGTAAGTCTGCAGAAGTCTCTGGCATGTGACCTGACCTACAGATTTTGGATTCACCAGCCTCGTGAGCCAGCAAAGGCCTCCAGCCTGCCACCTGACTTGCAGGTTTTGGGTTCTTCAGCCCCTGCAACCACAGGAGCCAGCTGAGGTCCTCAGCCTGTCGCCTGACCCATGAATTTGGGACTTGCCAAGCCCCACAATTGTGTGAGCCATTTCCTCACAATTTCATGAGCCATTTCCTTGAAGTAAAGTTCTCTCTCTATTTATGTATGCTTCACTGGTTTTGCTCCTTTACAGAACCTGGAGACGCTCATTAAAGCAGATCCTAACTGTTGTACTGAGTTCTGTAATTCCAAACCAATTCTTTTAAAACTCATTTGGAGCCTGATAATAATTCTTTAAATGCATGACATACTAATACGAGATGAAAAGAAAATTACAACTGAGCCTCCAAATAGAGACTATTTGGCCCTTTAGCACTAAGGGCCAAAGTTATAGACAAGCTAATGTCCTTTTCAAGCAAAGAAGAGCTTAATGCTAGAGTCTGCAGAAGGAATATTAGCTTGATACCACAATTCAGAATATATTCCAAGTAGGGCTCTGTAACCATCTAGATTTTAATTTTTAATTTGCTCTCTCTAGAAAGTCTCTTAAGGAGGTTATTTCAAATTTATTAGATTAGTGTCCGAGTTTTCTAATTCGCCCTGTAAATGACCAATGTTATCAAAAGAGAGTGAATCCTAGAGAGATCACTAGAGTGTAATGCTTAGCCATCTGATTTTGTTTTTTTAAATGGGCCACATCTGGTTGTATAAGGAGGTGGCTGGAACAATTACTCCTTCGCCTAAGAGGTTTTATAATTTTATCCACGCTGACTTTAAATACACCTTTGAAGTTGTGTTGTGGAGTAATAACAATCTTTTTTGTTGGGCTTGAACCAGGGGTCATGTTGTTCCAAGGACTGCCAGCAACCATTCTTCAGTAAGGAGAGTAGGCCCAGGTGGCATGAAAACTGGGAGGTGGAGAGACACACCGCAGAGTGAGAAGCTGGGTTCTGGCCATGTATTTTGAGCCTGGAGTCCAGTGTTTCCCAAACTGAACTGGGTGATTAAAAATTCCAGACTCCTTCCCAGCCCCACTCCATCAGAATCTGTAAGGAGGTCCCAGGAAGGTGCTCTAGTCTCTACTGAAGCTCGCCCTAATGCTGGAGTGTTCAGGAATACGAACCAACTGATTTCCTTTATGGTTTAAGAGAATTTTAAATTGGTCTGTTACTTGCAGCAAACATCCTAAATGACAGAGGTGAGCTAGATTTGGTTCCCTTAGGTTTTTCAGTCTTTATTTTGCAGACAAGTAAGCGTAAGCTCTCAACGAAATATTTTACTTACTTACCTTTGATGAAATTTAAAGGACAACCTCTGTTAGGATTTCTCTGGAAAAAAAAGAGCAGGTTGAGAAATAGACCTTTTTAATCTCTCTTCCCTCCCATAACTCCTCCCTTTGGCCCTGGACACCTGGTTAAACACGCTCCGTCTGAGGTTCAGAATCACTTCCAGACATCCCAGCCCGTCCCTCTGCACAATGAAGCTCAGCTCTACAAACCACCGCATACCTCTGAGCGATGGAAATAGCATTCCCATCATCGGGCTTGGTACCTACTCTGACCCTAAGTCGGTAAGCTTATCCCTCTCTCTTTTCTTAACTCTCTTGTCCAAAGCCTAAGCTGGGCTGCATTTGGAATGCTTCTCATTGATTTACTTTTGTCACAATCAAAGCAACCTCCAAGGACTACTGTTTGCCTGAGTGGACACTGAGCTAAAGGTTAAACTAAGCTGGTAAATGTTTCCCTTCTGCTTATATTTCTGCTTAGAAATTATTTGGGATTAATGAATGAGACGTGTCTGCTTTCTCTTCTGAAATGCAGCTGAATGCTGATCATTAGAGTAAATGGAGGCATGTGAATTTCTGAGCTTATGGTTTGTGAAGATTTTAAAGTTTATATTTGAGAATTTTTCGTTTAGTCTAACAAACACTTTCCCCTTCCCATCGAGTCGATTCCAACTCATAGCCACCCTACAGGACAGAGTACAGGGTTCCTGAGGCTATAATCTTTATGGAAGCAGACTGCCACTTCTTTCTCTTGCGGAGCGGCTGTTAGGTTTGAACCGCCGACCTTTGGGTTAGCAGCCAAGCGCTCAACCACTGTGCCAGCAGGGCTCCTTAACAAATACTTAGTGAGTAGCTACCATGTGCTAAGCACTAGGCTATAGAAGTAGCAAAGATGAAGACAGCCTAGTCTAGGGTTAAAAACCTAGTAGGGAAGGCTGACTCTGGCAGCTAATTGCAGAACACCGAAGAGGAACACATGCTGCCCGGGAACGGTAAACAGTGTCCCTCTGAAACTGTAAACAGGAAAGGGAAGAGTTAAATTCGACTGTGAAGATTGAAGTGGATTTCCTTTCAAACATGCTAAAGTCTCTGCTTAGAAGAAGACTATCTTTCTGCCTTCCTTACTGTAGTCCAACAGTTAATGCTGATGGCCAGGATGAGAGTGGTCTATGTAGAAACACTACTGAAATGTGTGAGATCATGTTGGAATGAACTCTGTAAAGCTAAGGATGAATCAGCCAGGCAGAGAAGCGGAGTTGAGTCAGGACATTTCAGGCACAAGGATCCATATGATCTGTCCCGGGAAGGCCAAGCCCATGGTAGCTGGCTCACGGAGTTAACAGCGGAGACTGATGGGGCTGAATCTGGAAATGTCAGCAAAGAATCGGGTCAAGGGATATCTCTTCTTAGAAACCCAACCCCCAGCCTCCACTCACAGATTGTCCTCTCTGTGTGCTCACGTCGCCCGCCCCTGGGCTCAGTTCTATCACAGCAGTCTTCACACTGTGTTATCATCATTGTTTCTCTGCCAACTTCCCCACTGACTTGGGGAAGCCCATCAGGAAAGGAGACCATGGTAGGGTCAGCGTTGTATTTCCCAGGACAGTGTCTGGTATATAATGGCTGTTCAGCTGATGTTTGTCACATTAATACAACAGTTTATGAAAAGAGATGCATATGTATGTGTGCATCAGACAATACCGAGGTGTCCGTGAATACAATAATAGCTGAAATTTACTGAACACTTACTTAACCCTGTGCCAGGAACTCTCCTAATTGTTTTACATTATTTGCATTTTCTAATTTAGTCCTCTTAATGTTCTGAAGTAGATGCCACGTATCCTCATCGTATAGCTGAAAAAATGAAGGCATGGAAGGATTAAATCAATTGCCCCAAGGTTATAAAGCTAAGGGATGGAGCTTAGATTTGAACCTGTGCACTTTGGCTCCAGATGCTATGCTCTGAACCCCTAGACTGCATTGCCTTCTATGAATGCTTTACGAGGCTCAGGGAAGCAGCATTATTTCTATGACTTTCTACGTGGATTTCTGTATGTGAAAGTGTCCCTTGTTGTCTTGTGCTGTCGGGTCGATTCTGACTCATGGACACCCCATGTGTTACAGGGTAGAACTGCTCTATAGGGTTTTCATGGCTGGAATTGTTACAGAAGCAGATTACCAGGTCTTTCCTTCTGTGGTGCCTCTGGGTGGGTTCGAACCTCCAACAATTTGTGCCACCCATGAAAGCGTGAAGGTGCCTAGGAATGAATATATACATAATCTGAAACTCATGGGGGTGTAAGGTGCTGTGTCTGCTAATAAGTATTATTAAAGTACCTACTATGTGCTTACAGGAACTCTGGTGGTGCAGTGGTTAAGTGCTCGGCTGCTAACCGAAAGGTCGGTGGCTCAAATCCACCAGCGGCTTCTGGGGAGAAAGATGTGGCAGTCCGCTTCCCTAAAGACTATAGCCTTGAACACCCTACGGGGCAGTTCTACTCTGTCCTATAGGGTCTCTATGAGTCGGAATTGACTCGACAGCAGCAGGTTACGTGCTTAGTGGGTGTGCTGGCGGTTCAGTGGTAGCGTTCTCACTTTTAGGCCCGGCTTGATTCCTGGCCCATAAACCTCTGTGCAGCGCCCCTCATCCCTTAGTGGAGGCCTGCATGTTGCTATGATGCTGAGCAGATTTCACTGGAGCTGCCAGACTAAGCCAGACTAGGAAGAAAGGCCTGGAGATCTACTTCTAAAAATCAGTCAGTGAATACACTGTCGATCACAACAGTCAGATCTGAAAGCGATCGTGGGGACTGCGCAGGACCAGGCAGTATTCCTTCCTGTGTTCATGAGGTCGCCTTGAGTCAGGGGCCCGCTCGACAGCAGCTAGCAAGGACAGCAGCAGCTGTGAAGCAGTGTCCATGAGCCGTGTCCTTCTTAGTAATCACTCAACTAAAGGAAAGCTCTATTTCTCTTCTCCTGCCTCCCACCATCCTCATTTCAGACCGTGAAGGGGGCCTGCACCGCATCCGTGAAAACTGCCATCGACGTGGGCTACCGGCACATCGACGGGGCTTACATCTACGGAAACGAGCATGAGGTGGGGGAGGCGATCCGGGAGAAAATAGTGGAAGGAAAGGTGCGGAGGGAGGACATCTTTTACTGCGGAAAGGTGAGCCCTGCCTTCCACTCTCCATGTGGGAATGTGGATCTCGCGTCGCTTTTCTCTGTAAAAAGTGCTGGGCTCCCCAGAAGCAGCATTTCTCCTTCTCCTGCCAAGAGCTTAACTCATAAAGCCCTTGTCGTGGGGTGGATTCTGACTCACAGCCACCCTGTAGGACAGAGTAGAACCACCCCATAGGGTTTCCAAGGCTGTCATCTTTACGGAAGCAGATTGTCACATCTTACTCTGGAAGAGCGGCCGGTGGGTTGAACTGCCGACCTTTCAGTTAGCAGCCGAGCGCTTCACCACTGCGCATCCAGGGCTCCTGGAAAGTTCTCAGTGAATGGTAATGCCATCATAATTGAAGGGTGATCAGAAATAGGAAATACAGGAGAAAGGCAGTGGTGAAAACTAATGCTACTTGTGTATTGATTTATTTACATTGTGCCTTGATCCAGAAAAGATTTAAGGAAGCTTGCGTACATTTAACTGAGCAAGATAAAATGAATTTAAAATAAATGAGAAAAAAAAAAAGGCAGAGAGAACATTAAGGTAGGAAATATAAGATGGATCCATGAGTGAGTTTAGAGCCCACAATGCCAGACATTTTTCTCTAAGCTTCCTGGTAGCCAGTGTGAAGAGGGAAACATGATCACATCCATGATTCGTGGGCTCCAAAAACAAAAAACAACAGGAGAAGCACAACTGCTCTTGATACCAAAACCAGAGAGGAATTTCCTCCTTTGATCCCCACAGAGAAGACGTTGCTTAACACATCTCTTGACGTTTTGCTCACAGTAAACTTGACAGTGAACCTCAGAGATAAGACTGATTTAACCATTAGGCACCAGAAAGAAGAGCAGTGCTTGGGGGCTGTGGAATTTCTAAGGGTCTCAAACATGTTTGAGACCTGAAAAGATGTTATCAGACCTGAAATATGAACAGCAAAAAGCAAAAAAACTCTGAAATCAAGTCATTATTTCGAGAGCAAAATTATGAAATGTGTCTCAAACTTTTGAACAAAAACAATAGAATGTAGGGCGTTGGGTGCCTTTGAATATGCTTGATGGGAACAGAACCTGTCCTCCAAAATCATGAGAGCCCGGGGCACACAGAGATTTTGAAACCGCCCTGTCTAGGGTTTCGCTGGTGCTGATTTTTGCAGCCTCCGCTGATCTAAGCTGAGAGCATCAGATCACACTGCTAGTGCCCTGTCTCCCTCCTCTTCTTTTTGTTCTAATTATTCTTTGTATTAATGTACTTATTTATTTTTGTTTGCTAAGTTTTATTTATTAAGTTGAACTGTCAGCCTGGGTCTCTTTGAAGGAAACTTCCAATTGTCATCAAGTCGATTCCCACTCACGGGTGACCCCTTGTGTGTCAAAGTAGAACTGTGCTCCATTGGGTTTTTCAAAAGTAGATCACCAGGCCTGTCTTCTGAGGCACCTCTGGTGGATTCGAACCTGCCAGCATTTAGGTTAGTGGCCAAGCACTTAACCATTTGCGCCACCTAGCGGCTCCTTCCTCCTCTTCCTTTTAACACATTATAATTTGATTTGGGATTGTTTTGGATTAGCTGTCTGCTGGAGAAATAAAAGACTGACAGTCTTATCAACAGATGAAATGACTTTGTTCTTCTAAAATAGCATGGATTTAATTGATCGTTTATTGATTCCCAAAGGAAGGACTGCTGTTACTTATTTATTTCTAATATTATTTTTATGAGCTGTTCTTACCAGGTCTGCCCATAGTACCTCCACACCAGCGGTTCCCTTCCTCAGGAACCTGTTCAGGTACTTTGGAGGGTGTACCAGGAAGTTGCACTGCTCAAAGCTAGATGTTCTCTGGCAAGTTTCTCAAGATTTTTTTTTTTAAATGGTTAAGATAGGTATCTGTTTACAGATACTAAAAAAACCCCCAAAACCCAGACCACAATGTCTGTGACCGGGCTTCATGAGGGGTGGTTGGAAGTGAGTCCCAGGAGGGTGGGACTGCCTCCAATTTTACCTGTTTTCACCGAGAAGATTTCATTAGAAAAAGAAAAGCAGAGAGCAGAGTGGTTTCTTGTACTAAAAGATTGAAACCACCCTTCTGTGGCCCTCAGCGTGCTCCACCTATGTTGCTGTGAGTCAATTTTCTGACTCATAGTGGCCCTATATGACAGAGTAGAACTGCCCCATAGGGTTTCCTAGCCTGTAATCTTCACAGGAGCAGATTGCCAGGTCTTTCTCTCGAGGAACGACTGGTGGGTTCACACCTCCAGCTTTTTGGTTAGCAGCCAAGCATTTAACCGTTGCATCACTAGGGTTCCTTTGCCAAGAACTTAGGGACTCATTAACCCTCCGAAGGTCAGGGAGAATCTTCCTCTTCAAACATGGGCATTGATTCACGATAATGTATGAGAAGCCAAATTGATAATCAGATCAGTTCGGGAGCGGAGGGAAAGGAGAGTTCACATTGCATAAGGATTTGTCAAAGCTGTCTTTAAAAGAGCAGCCTTCTTTGTCTTTTGCACGTGCTAATTTGGACATGGATTGTTATTTTTTTTTAATTGAGACAATTCACGTCCCATAAAATTCACCATGATAAAGCATCAACTATTCAGTAGTTTTTAAAAGTATTCACAAAGTGCAACCACTGCTTAATTCCAGAACATTTTTATCACTCCGAAAAGAAACCCTGTACCCATTATCAGTTTCTGCCTGTTCTCCCCTCCTCCCAGCCCCGGCAACTACTGATCTACTTTCTGTCTCTATAGATTTCCTATTCTGGACATTTTGTAGGGATGGAGTCATACAATATGTGGCCTTTTGTGACAGACTCCTTTCATTTAGTATAATGTTTTCAAGTTTCATCCAGGTTGTAGCGTGTACCAGTCCTTCATTGCTTTTTTTATGGCTGAATAATGTTTCATAGGATGTGTATACCACATTTTGTTTAGATCACTCACTACCATCTGAGCAATAGAAATCGCCCGTATTAGGGCTCACTGTCCATTGAAGAGCAATCAGAAAGATAGAGCACTGTGATTAAAATTAGGCCAATGGAAACCTAAGATGTAGATTTATAGACAGCTTTGCAGGACTAAGGAGCCCTGGTGGCGCAGTGGTTAAGAGCTCGGCTGCTAACCAAAAGGTGGGCAGTTTGAATCCACCAGCTGCTCCTTGGAAACCTTATGGGGCAGTTCTACTCTGTTCTATAGGGTCGCTAGGAGTTGGAATCAACTCAACAGCAACAGGTTTTGGCTGCGGGAATAGAGCTGTACAGCTTTATAGAACCTGTAATACGGTTTTCCTGAATGTTCTAGAGAGAACAAGATGTTGCTTTGACTCTCCCACTTCCCCAACCTCTCCTTCCCCCCAGCTCCTCATTCAGGCTCTGCTTGAACACTGTGTAACTCCAGGACTGTGGTGGTTTTTTCTCCTTGTCTTGGTCAGGGTCCTCTAGAGAAGCAGAACCAGTGAGGGAGAGATATATATATTTAAGGAACCAGTGTTCCTTCAGACCAATCTCTCTCTCTCTCTCTCTCTCTCACACACACACACACACACACATACACTCAAATGCATATACAAACACATACACACACACGCATCTCTTGGTTCTGTTTTTCTGGAAAAGCCTGACTAATACAATCGCAAAAAACTTCTAGTTATTTTTCTTCAAAACTTATCTGATCTTTCCCCCAAGGTCTGGGAAAATCAGATTTAGTTAGGAAGCCAGTTGTAAAAATCTAGCTATTAAATGCAGCGTAACTCCTGGCACGAGTTAGCTCGACGGGTGGGACACAGACTAGACACAGCCATTAGGATTGACCCACCCTACTCACTGCGTCCACTGCCTCTGAGGCTGCTTTCAGGCCTCACGACCACCTGGCTCTGCCAACATAGGGCAGGAGGCGCCGGGTGACAGGAGGAAAACCAGCTGGAACTCATGTACACCTCAGGTGGGTCCTCTGTCTCTGCCCTGCTGACGTGCCGACGACAGGTAATTTCCTTGGTCAGGTCAATAAGAGTTTGTGACTTTGTGTCCTTGAGGCCTGCTCCAACACAGCGGTGGACAAGGGTTCAAACTGGCAGTCAGACTCATGAGATGCAACCCCACCTTTCCCCAGCTTTCTCGAAGAATTCTGGGTAGGAGATACAGCATTCACGGCATTTTCGTCTCATTGGGAAGCTCAGCAGCTACCATGTGCCCAGCCTTCTTTGTCCCCTCACTTGCAGGGGCACAAACCGTGGCCGTCACAGAAGAGCTCCAAGGTCTGTGTGTCTCACTTTGATAGACGCCACAGCCTTGCTTTCTGCGGTGAAATGAGTTCCTTTTTGTGGGCTTTTGCCTTGGTTCTTCGGAAAAACAGTTTGAGAGATTTTCCCCCTAAACCCTGAGGAGTTACATTTGCCCTAGTTCTCTATCCCAGAGGATTTGTTACTTTTGTTGACATCCATTGACTTTTCCTGGGCAAGCCCTAAACAACTTGTGGTTTGAGACTTTTTGTCTGGCCCTGGGCTGCAGCCTGCCCGGTGACTGGTCTACTTTACGCACCGTGCAAGGATTGGTCAATATATTTACACAAAGGAAGTGACTCTAGCTTATATGAAGAGCCTGTGGCCTCCCAGTGAGGGGATTGGTCAGTGCATGGCCTTGGTGGAAGGACCATGCCTTGAAATTGATGAGCAGTTTGCTTATATAGGTAGCCAAGCCCACAGAGATTGGCAGACAGACAGATAGAAGAAAGAAAGAAGCAGAAAGAAGAAAAGGCAAGCAGAGAGAAGCAGAGAGAGAGAGGAGATGAGGAGCCTGTAACATGGGTCAAGGGCTGTAACACTGAATACAGCAAGAGGCTCAGAAGGGGCTCTGTGGCAGAGCTGGTGGTGACAGCAGAAACCTACTGCTAGGAACGCAGCTAAGAGAGCTGAGCAAAGCTGCTGTGCCGGCTGTGAGCTGGGTCGGTTAGCAGTGGAGAGGCTGACGGCAGGGAGGCCGAAGGCAGAGAGGCCTGTCCTGAGGAG